CCCAAATGCCACTTCCATGATGTCATTTCCACAGTCAAGTATCCGCAGGCCTCTCCTCCTGCAAGCCAGGCGCACAGAACCGCTCCTGACTTCAGAGTCCCTCCTTAATCAGCCCGTCACTCAGAACAGGAGTTTGGGAAACAGAGGTGACTCACACACCCACACACCCACGGAGGGATGTTCCGAGAGTACAGACGAAGGAGCAGCCGTGGGGTGGCTTTGGGCCTGTGTTTGTGTTTTGTTTTACATGACACTGGTAGAGAAGGATAAACTAGTTTAGCATCCCTTCCAGCACAATGCTAACCAGCTAACCAGTTGGCCTCCTTTGCTTTTCTGTTGCTGTGGTAAAACACTGACCAAAGCCAACCTAGGGAGGAGAGGGTTTATCTAGCTGACAGGTCACAGTCCGTCTCTGAGAGAAGCCAGGACAGGACCTGGAGGCAGGAACTGAAGCAGAGCCCATGGGGGAGTGCTGCTTACTGGCTTGTTCAGCCTGCTTTCTTGTACAACCCGGGGCCATGTCAATCCTTAATCAAGAAAATGACGGCATCTTTGCCAGCCAGCATGCCAGCGTGGATGGGGAAAATCTCACGGGGCCCCAGCCCTAGATGAAGGAGCTAAAGAGGGAATGAGTCTAATTCCCTAGGAATGAGCAACCTCATTGGTTTCCTGGCACAACTGGTCAGCCCCCAAAACATATATTTATGTGGGCAGATTCAGTGGGTTGAATTTACATAGTCATTCACTTAGACACGTAGTTATATATTTTGTATATGTGTAACAATAAACAAAAAAGATACGGAGCTGAGATGGAGTGGAACGAAGTAGGGAAACGTGGGACGGGTTGTAATTCCAGCAGTCGGGAGGTGGAGGCAGAAGGATCGTGAGTTCAAGGCCAGCCTTGACTACGTAGCAAGAGCCTGTCTCCAGAAAAAAGGAAGGAAGGAAGAAAATAAGGAAAAAACAGACGGCCCTGCTCCTTCCAGGCTACCTGAGCTCTTGAACTCTGTTCCTCTTACTTGGAAAATTCTAATCCTGGCACCATTGCCTCCCTCTCCCCTCCCTCTGTCCCAGATTATTTCTATCAGCACATAAAAATCCTATAAACCTTTGCATCTTAAGAAAGAGTTTCTGGGCTCAGCAGTTAAGAGCAGGAACTGCTCTTCCAGAGGACCCGAGTTTGATTCCCAGGATCCACACCCGTCAGCTCAGAAACACCCGTGACTCTAGCTGCGAAGGATCTGGTGGCTCTGGTCTCCTCGGACATCTGCAGTCATGTGCACATACCCCAACACACACACACACACACACACACACACACACACACACACACACACACACACTTCAAAACAGAAAAATAAATCTTTTTTTAAGTTCCTTTCTTGTGCTGTAGAGGTGGCTTATTGGTTAAGAACACGGGCTGCTCTTGCAGAGAACCCAAGTTGGGTTTCCAGCACCCACCGGGCAGCAGCTCATAACCATCTGTAACTGCAGCTCCAGGGAACCAAACACCTACTTCTGGCCTCTCTAGGCACTGCACAGACATGGTGTGCGGACATCTGCAGGAGCAACACACTCACACACATAACATAAAAATAAATAAAATCTCAACATCTTCTCCAGCCACGCTGCTCTGCAGACACCCCTCGCTGTCTCCACTCGGTCACCCCGCTGTCTCTTTCTGTGACCTTGGTCGGGCTTTCTTCTCCACTGTGTCAAAGCAGGCAGTTAGCTTCCTTCCGCAGAGGCTCTCAGTGCAGCTCGGCACTGCCGGTGAGAAAATGTCTTTTGTTGGTTCTTGTCACCTCCTGAGCCCCCACCCCCACCCCGACCCCCACCCCCACTTGTCCGCTTCCCTCTCCTGTTCTAAGGTGGCCAGGGCCCAGGCTGTGGACTTCACTCCTCCCTCTGGACCGACTGAGGCCGCGGCATCTGTCTGCTGCTCTTGGACTGCAGCCTTCTCAGTGAGCACACACAGTGTCAAGTCCCGACCCCCTCCCTGTGCTCTGGGCGAATCCTCCCTTCGGATGTCAGTAGCCATCTTGAACTTAAATGCACGGAAAACGCCCGAGTTCTTGACGGCCATCCCCTGTTCCACTTTCCCACTCCCAGATACTCCGCACCCCAGTTGTCCACACCACTGACTTAGAAGCCAGCCTGCTCTTCATGGCCTGTTCGCACACACCACACCCCAATCCCTAAGCAAGCTGCTTCGTTCTCCGGACAAAAACCCCAAAGTCCCCTCCCACCTGTGGCACTGGCTCGCTGGCTCCAGCCTTTCCGGAGAAGACTCCCCAAACCAGACCCCCACTTTCCATGTCTGCCAGCTGCCCGTGCCATCCAGCGACTAGTGTCTTCTGTTTCGTTTTTTTTCTTGTGATGCCGCGGAGGGGATCTAGAACCCCGCTTGTTTAAGGGAAGCACCCTGGCCTAGCTCCCTCCCCAGCTCGTCCTACAGTGGGTTGTTTGGGCTTAGGGTGGTTTTGCTGAGTTGCTTGCTTGTGTTTCTGAAACAAGGCCATGTAGTGCAGGATGGCCTCAAGCTCACCATGTAGCTGAGGCTAACCTTCAATTCCTAATCTTCCTGTCTCTACCTCTCACGAGTAAGGGTTACAGGAGTGTGCCACCGCACTCAGCTCTTCGGTATATTTAGTTATTTATTATTTTGTATGTATGTATGTGTATTATTTTTATTTTTTTATTATTTTTTTTAATGTATGAGTGTATCCAGAAGAGGCCGTGGGATCTCCTGGAACCGGAGTTACAGGCAGTTGTGAGCTGCCTGCTATGGGTATTGAGAATGGAACCCAGGCCCTCTAGAAGGGCAACAAGTGCTCTTAACTGCTGGGCCATCTCTCCAGCCCTCTCCAGTGGTTTCTGAGCGGTGGAGAACACAACAAATCTTAAATGCTTATGATGCATGGGGGCAGGTGAGGCAGGATCTGGGCACTGACCATTTCTCTCTTCTGCCTGCTTACTGCACACTAGTCACGGGTCTTCTTCCTTCTCTCCTCCTCCTCTTTTTTAGACTTATTTATGTTTATGGGTGGTTGCCTGCATGTATGCACATGCATCATGTGCATGCCTGGCACCCACAGAGGTCAGAAGAAGGCATAGACTCCCCTGTGTTGTTGATGGTTGTGAGCCACCATGTGGGCGCTGGGAACCGAACCTGGGTCCTCTGCCAGAACAACAGGTGCTCTTCTTAAGCACTGGGCCATCTCAGCCCCTTGTGTCTTACACAGGCTCATTCCTGGCCCAGGGTCTACACATCTGCTGCTCACTCTGCTTAGAACGCTCTTTCCACCGCTGTAGGGATGCTTCCTTCTGGCAGGTCTCTGCTCAGAGGCCACCTCCCAGAAGAGCTGTCCCTGAAGGCCTTAGATGGCCCTGTCCGCACCAGCCTCCTCTGCCTCTCCTTCCCCTACCCTCTCAGTCAGCCCGCCTGCTCCATGGGCTTTATTGTAAACTTGAATGTGAAGCCTCTAAGCAAGGATGTGACTGGTCGGCCTGTTATGGTCTCACCAGTCTCTAGAAGCCGCTGGTACATAAAAGAGGCTCTCCTATGAGTGAAGAAATCACTTTTGAAAAAGTCCATTTTTGAAAAAGATTAAAGGGGCAGCGGACTGCTCAGTGGTCGCGTGTTTGTGTAAATCTCTGGGTTTAATTGGGAAGGGAGACAGAGAAAAGACTAATAAAACAATGTGTAGGGGTATGAGGGCTGGGGTTTACCTGTTCGTTCTATCTATCTATCTATCTATCTATCTATCTATCTATCTATCTATCCATCATCTATCATCTGTTTATCCTCTATCATCTATCTATCATCTATCATCCATCTATCTATTATTCATCTATCATCTACCTATCATCTATCATCTGTCTATCATCTATCTGTCATCTATCTATCTATCTATCTATCTATCTATCTATCTATCTATCCATCATCTATCATCTGTTTATCCTCTATCATCTATCTATCAGTCTATCATCTATCATCCATCTATCTATTATCCATCAATCATCTACCTATCATCTATCATTTATCTATCATCTGTGTCTATCTATCTGTCTATCTATCTATCTATCTATCTATCTATCTATCTATCATCTATCTATCTATCATCTCATTTGTACGTATTCATGCGCGGTCAGGACCAGCCCTCAGGACATGTTCACGTCTACCTCTTGTCTCCTACCCTCCTTTCACACCTCACCCCTGACAGTCCTTCAGACTGTGGCTCGAGGGCCACCTCCTTCCTCTCCATGCAGCCTTCCTGAGATGCTTGCACTCTTGTGGGCTGTCTGTTCCCCAGACGTGGACTGACAGGAGATTAATACCAAGTAAATACCCGGTGACAGTGCTTGGTGTAGATGTCTGTGTCTCAAAGCCTTCCAGGGGGTCTGGAAATTCATGGGAGAACTTCCATCACTACCCCAGTCTGGGTAGTACTGAATATTAAGTACTTACATCTACTGAGCACTCACTACCACGAAACACATGGACTGAGTGGGAACTGCTTTCATTTTATATCAAGACTGGGGAAATAAAACATAGACAGAGTAAGTGATTTGCCTATGGTGCTAAGGTGGGGATTCAAACAGAGCTAAGCCCAAGCTCGTCACCTCCATGCTGTGCCACCACATGATAGGCACATGACAAAGGACCCTAGTCCACAAATGTGCTGGGTCAAGCTGCTCGGTCTTGGTCAGATAGCCTAATACTGGGTCTCCGTTTTCTCTGTGTGAGGGGACAGGACAGCACCTTCTGAGTGTTTGGAAGCATCAAGCTGTGGCGTGGGTGCTGTGGCGCTTGGCTCCCGGCAGGCGTGGGGCAGATGCTGGTTAGCCCAGCCTGGAGTGGGGGAATGCCCCGCTCTGGAGTTAAGGGAAGCTCGGAACATCTTCTGGAAGCCGAGGATAGGAAGGCACCAGGCTTCCTGCGGGCTGTTTGTGTTTGTCCTCCAGACCTGCTAATCTAAACATCTCTCGCTCCCCAGGAATTATTTTAGGACCGGGAAACAGCACGCTGTTTATTGAAAGAGTCACCGAAGAGGATGAAGGTGTCTATAGGTGCAGGGCGGCCAACCAGAAGGGAGCCGTGGAAAGCGCAGCCTACCTCACGGTGCAAGGTAAACAGCTGGCAGATCCGACACCTGTTTCCCTGTTGGCTTAACCTCCCACCTCCTGGTCTCCTCCGGCAGCCCAGTGGGTCCTTTCCTGCCTGTTCTGGACACTGCGGACACTCTGTCTGCAGGCAGAGGCTGGCTGTCCTCGGGAGCCCCAGGCCAGCATTCTCAGCAGGGGAAGTACTTCCAGGAAGAAGGGATCCTGGTGTGCTCCCGACACTGCGGGCAGTGTGACTCACAATGCCCCAAGGGGTCCACATCTGTGAGAAATAAGGCCGGGAAGAAAGGAAATGGGGGGAAGGGGAGGGGCACCCATTGAAATTGTTCATCCCCACCCCACCCCCTTTTCTGAGTCCTAGAAATTAGACGTGAGTTACTTTTTCCTCAGCTGGTTTTTAACATGAGGAGACACAAAAAATTCTCAGACGCAAGGCACACTGAATGGCTCACACCTCAGAGACAGCCCTAGGCGCTTCCTGGGCCCCAGACAGTTTGTCACAGAGCAAAGCATAAAGTAGCTGGGTCCTGCTCTGACTACAGCCATGTGGCTTCCGTTCGGAAGACAGTCTCAACCCAGGCTTCAGTTCTCCCATGCTAAGCACCATCCCAACCCTAGCGTTTACAGCGTCGGAGCATTGCATGCGCATGTGCGCCTCTTCGAGCTCACCATCGATGGCATCCTGAGATTCGACGTGAGAAGGTGGGATTTGTTCGGTAGCCGGTCCACAGTGCTCAGCAGTGTATATGAGAGCGTGTGGGTGCTTCTGGGGACAAGCCAAGAAGGAAGAAAGGCTGAAACTATCCTACCACAAATCCTTACTTCCAAAACGAGGGCGATATTCCCCAAACAGCCTGAGGAATGGTCGTACGTCTCCCAAATCCTCCTTGTTTTACTATCGTCTTCCAACTCTGCCACACATCAAGAGAAACTAACAGCCCACTTTCTCGAAGGTCTGCTCCTCTGTCTTTGGCGTGGACCTCAGGTATCACCACTGCAGCCTTTCCAGCAGGCCAGGGAAAAGCAGAAAAAAGGAGACGCACCTCAGCCTGGCTTGAGTTTGGAAGCCCCCAGAGGCAGGAAGCCGTAACTTGACTCTGGGTTACTCTCAGTCAGGCAGGGACAGCCCTGATGAAGAAAGTTCCCTTTCTTCTGAAAGTCACCTCAGCCCACCACACGCTGGCTTTGCCTTGCTGAGTACCTGTCCCCATGTTCACTAGTGGGTAATACGGTCAGCGTGGGGATTGCGAGAGACCCTGATGTGAAGTCAGAGTGTGCATGCCAGTTGTAAATCTTCCCTCTTTTGCCAGGATAGCCCGGACTTCTCAGGAGCCAGGTCACTTGGCCTTGGCTTTACAGCATCTGTGACCCCAGCATTCACCGGTGACAGCTTTCCAAAGCCCCACCGATGGTGAGGTTTTGGGGATGCAGGCGTCAGCTCCATATAAGGATAGAATTTGAAATAGAGAGCAGTTTGCAAGTTGACAGTGCATACATCTCAGAGAAGCCCACACATATGAGTTAGGGCCAGTTTCTTGAAGTACTCTGGGCTCCCTGAATTAATGTGGCCATGTGATGCTGTTCAGAGCAGTTGACCACGGTTATCTGCAGCTCACTTGATAACTGAAATTGGATTCTCGCCCTTGAACGCATGACTCATGTCACTGAGGGACACTGAAGCATCCCTGAGCTTCAGACGTGGTTTCCTGGTATACTCCTGCCTTGTCCAGTTGAGTTTAGGAAATCTGGGCACATGGGTTGTGTCTGTGGCTATGTTTAACAGATTTTTAAAGAGGTTCAGGAATCCGTCAGGAAGGAAACGGTCTGCTCATTTTATTTCCTTTAAAAAAGGAGTCTTATACTCAGAGATAAAACAATGTGTTATTTTTGTATCTGAAAAGGATAAATGGACTGTGGAGTCAAAGTGGCTTCTTTAAATAATCCCCGGTTTTGTTTGGTTTGGACGGGACCTTGGGCATATGTGGAGCCCCCCACCCCCACCCCCAGGAAAGGTGTCCAGTGTCAAGACCACAGTAAAAGTGTCAGCAATCCAGATCATTTCTGAAATGAACATATTTGGCCCATTTATATCCAAAGACCCAACTGAGCTCTGGCGCTTCTCCTTGAGGCTGATGACTATGCTCCGCACAAGAACTTGTCTGACAACAGACCTGGGCATCACTGTACGTTAACGGTATTGGGAATGACACAGGACAGAGAAGCTCTGAGAATGACTGCCATTAGAGGCTTCTGCTGAAGATGACGAGATAGCTTGAGAGAAGACACAAAGAGGTCAGAGCTGGATGCTGGCCACGGCATCCCAGATAGAGTTCGCCACGGCATCTGCACACTCACATCTGCTCGAGAAAGGACCCATGCCGTGAGAAGCCTGCACCACAGTCCCTAATTAGATCCCGAGGCTTAAGAATAAAAACAGCTCAAAACAAACCTAGCACGTTTCTCTGTGTTCTACACTGTAGTCAGTGTCCTCCTGCTCCCCACCAGGTCCTGTGACCTGCAGCCTGCCCTCCCCTCCCCCACACCTGTCCTCCTGAATGCTAAACTAACCTGGCCCTTCATGTTTCTCCTCTCATAGATGCTGGCAATTTTCAGGGGTGTCCCAAGTAACAAACCATGCTCAGAATAGACGAATTACCTGTTCCTAATTGCACATGGGAGCTTAAGGGCCCTAAATACCCGCCCCCCCCCCCCCTCTCTCTCTCTCTCTCTCTCTTGTAAACTTTCAACTCCAAACTATAGGATAAACCTCACCTTAGCAGAGAATTTAAAAAATGGTACTAAAGTTCAGTTAAGGTGAATTAAGATCTTTGTAGATAGTTCTTAATATAAATGAATAATATAAATAAAATAAATTTTGTAGAAGCAAAATAATTAGACTTCAAACATAGCCATCTCGTTTCTTCCCATGAAGACCAGGGAATAAGAATCTACACAAGGTATCCCCGACATAGATGGTAGCTTCATTAACTGGTGTTAGGCCCTGGGAAGACTTTGGCCTATCAATTATACCTTGTCTTGTCAAGCACATGATACACTGTGTTAAGCAAGCATATATACACTAGTCTACTTAGTTTTTTTATTATTATGTTTATGGGTGTTTCATCTACTTGTACAAATGTGCATCATATGCCTGCAATGCTTGCAGAGGCCAGAAGAGGGCATCCGAGACCCTGGAATTGGAGGTGCAGAGGGTTGTGAGTCAACAAGTAGGTGCTGGGAATCGAACCCAGGTCCTCTAGAAGAGCAGCCAGTGTTCTTAACCACCGAACCATCCTTCCATCCCCTTGCCCCACTCTTTGCTTAAATTTTGCAGCAATCCTGTGAGAAAGTCCGGTTGTTGAAAATAAGACTCTAGTTAGGACCCAGAGAGAGGTCAAATAATATCCCAGGGCCAGCAGGCCAGGCTTCAGTGAGGGAGCTGGGAATGCTTGAGTCCCTCTTCCTGCTGTGCCTCATGTCACATGGTGAGTGGGAGCCGTCTCAGCAGCGGGGTGTCTCTGTTTCAGGAGCTGAGTCACTTGTGGGGGGACCTCCTCTGTCCTGGTATTTCCGTTCCTGCCGTACAAAGTGGGAGTGTGAATTGCGGCTGACTCGCCTTTCTAGGGCTGGTACAGGATGAGGAGACTGTGTCGTGATAAACTCTGAAGTGTCAGCTATTATTGGTGTTGGTTCATGTGGTCCTCTATTCCAGCAGAGCTGTCAGCCTTACATATGTGAGTCACCCAGATGGCGTCCCAGACCACAGCATTCCTGTTTGCCTTGAGGACTAGCTTGTTGTGATAAAAACGAATTACCAAGAAAAATGTTACAAACTGCAATTTTAATTGTTTGTTTTTTTAATTACTCTCAAAAAGTTACTTCGAATTTAATTCAAATATAGTAGATCTACACATCACAGTCCTGAAGAAAAGATCCAAATTGGTCTCTACAGATTCTTAAAAAGCATCAAAAACCGTTACAAAGATCTACAGGCCAGTTGTACTATTCCAGTAAGTGACAGGGAAGCCATGTCGAACTTGAGGCAGATGACGGCACTTGTGTTGAGCTTGATAGAATGTGGCCTAATCTTTCCTCATATATGTATAGGTCTTTACTGACTTTCTCTGGGCCTGAGGTAAAAACACAAAGGGAACATATTTCTGCTACATTATTTGTGACTTCAAATTAATAGTAAACTTCAAAATAACAGTAGATGCTAGATCACCTAACCCACACTGTGGGCTCAGGTACAGCCTTATGAGAAGGTGGTTACTCTAAAAGATGCCAGGCAATTGTGCTAAAATCTGGTTTGTTTTAGGCAGAAAAGGCAAGCTATGATGCGTGGAGTGTGCCTGACAGAAAAGAAGTAAAGCAAAACCAAATCAAACCCAACTGTCTTGCACTTAAGGTCCAAAAAGTGATGAGGGAAAATAAAATTTTATTTATTTATTTTTATTTTACTAAATGTGTGTGTGTGCCCATGTTTTACCTGCGTGTACATCTGTGTACTGTGTGTGTTCCTGGTGCCTGAGGAGGCCAGAAGAGGGTGTCGGATCCCTTGGAACTGGAGTCACAGATGATTGTGAGCTGTGGTGCTGGGAATTGAACCTGGGTCTTCTGCAAGAGCAACAAGTGCTCTTAACTCCTGAGCCATCTCTCCAGCCCATAAAACCATACTTAAAGGTTTAAAGGGGTTGAGAGAAGGGGAGAGAGAGATGGAGGAAAGTTTCAAACCATACTTAACAGCAGTTTGCACATTATCTTTAATTTTTAAAAGAAACCGAGGCTTTGGTCTGCCACATAGCTGCTCACTGGCTCACACAAGGCATCTTCCCAATTCCTGATGGCACACTCCCCCCCGACCCCCACCCCCAGGTGTAGTTGAAAGTTTTCTCTGGTCCTGCCCGGCCATGCGGTCTGGACCTCAAACCTCTCCCACCCACCATCCTACAGCCACTTATAAAATAATCACTCAGAGGCTTAATATTATTTACACACTGTATGGCCTATGGAAGGCCTCTTGCTAGCTAGCTCTTATATCTTCAATTAGTCTATTTCTATTAATCCGTGTTTTGCCACATGTTCCATGGCTTTCCCAGTCTGCTGGCATGTTGCTCCTTGGGCGGCAGACTGGCATCTCTCTGCCTCTGCCTTTCTTCTTCCTGTCTCTCTCTTGGATTTCCTGCCTGACTATGACCTGACTCACCATAGGCCAATCATAGCAACACATCGTCACGGTGTACAGAAAGACATCCCACAGCACCCGGGGCCGGGTAGACTCTGGGGCCAAATCTCTCTGGTGATGTCCTTCTTGGAACTCACCTGTTATTGTATTCTTTGAGCTGACTGCCGGCTCTGCGGCCTGAGCTGCCCCTCACAGAACCACGTGCCGGGCCAGTGTGTGGATGCCTAGCTACGATGAAAACATCCGAACCTTCTCTTCTCTGAGGTTGGCCTACCCAGCTGAAGCCTACCCTGGTAACTGTCCGGCAAAAGTGGGCTGCCAGTGTGTGCAGCCCAGACTGTGCACAAAGAGCTGCCGTCACCACCAGAAAGGATCAAGACACCATGCAATGAAGACTCTTGACAAGATCTACCACCCCTCAGCATCCAGCCTAGCTGCTAAGTGGTACCCGGAGGGATGACAGGAAGCCCGGGAAGACAACCACGTTTGTCTGTGCAAGAGAGTGGGAATGGACAGCAAGGGGCACCATTATCAAATACTCTTGGTCACCTTCTCATCAACATCCCGAGGAAAAACAGCCATGGACTGCATCCTTGTACACACATTTGAGGGGACTGATGTTCCTGAGACCAGCACTCACTCCTAACACAGATCAAGTCTCATCCACTTTGCCTCTGGCCCTGAGCAACTAGGCTGTTTTGTGTACTGAACTAATTGCCTGTCACCAGCCAGGTGAAGCTGGGTTTAGCCAGGCTAGTGTGTAGGGAAAGCACCCAAGAGGTTCATCAGCCTGCCAGCCAAAGCCTGTCCTGGCAGCCCTTTAGGAGAGAGAGAGACAGAACTATCAGATGAGACCACAGATGCCACGGTGTGTGTGGTAAAGGGCTAAGATGAATACTAGCCAGCAGTGAGAACTACTGTTAGAGCATAATGATCATCCTTCTTAAACGTATTCTAGTGAGTTGGTCCTTAAATATGTGTTTACACACAACTAGTCCCATTGACAGGAACTTTGCTTGAGTAAGGACTATGGAATTAGACTTGGGGGCCAGCTTCCTGTCCCACGGAATGTGGCGGGAACGTTCCCCCAGACAGAGAGGGCCACTGGCTTCACATTCCATTACAGGAGTGTGTGCAAAGCCCCTGTGAGAAGACAGTGACTTCAGCAACTGCGGCCGTCGGCGGCCACTGCAGGCTGCCTTCAGAAGGGTCCAGTCTTACCAGAGAACTTATCTGCAGCATAAGCCAGTGTGGTGTGCTCGTGCGTGCGTGCGTGCGTGCGTGCGTGCGCAGTTGAAGAAATCCATACTCACAGGAACTTTGTCTTGCAGTTTTTCCACTCTGAGGATGTATAGTGAGACTGAAGGACAAAAGGAGATATAAGACCTAAGCATTTAAATTTTTTAATTAATTTTTAAAATTGGGAGCGAGGCTGGAGAGCCGGCTCAGCAGTTGAGAGCACTGGCTGCTCTTGCAGAGGACCTGGTTCGGTTCCCAGCACCCACATGACACATGGTGGCTCACAACCATCTGTAACTGCAGTTCCAGAGGGTCCGGTGCCCTCTTCTGGTCTCCGCAGATGCTGGCACATATGCATACATGCGGGCAAAATACCCATGACATAAAATAAAAGTAAACCAATCTTAAAAAAAAAAAAAAAAAAAAAAAAAAAGGCAGTGTTAGGCCCAGAAGCCAGGGCCTTCTCAGGCCAAGCACATACCTCCACTGAGCTACAGGGCCAGCTCACCATTTGAATTTTTATCCTCACAGTCATAGAGGGCACACGTCGGCACCCGCTGAGACAGACAAATGGCAGGATTGAATCTATGGCCTGGAAAGGAGTGGAGGGCACTGGAGACAGGCAGGGCTGGGTAGATGAGAACTGAGGAGGTCCCCCAGGCAGTGATAACGGGGTGAGAGAGACAGTAACACCTTCACAAGCAGAAGGCAGAGCAGGTAGGACAGAGAACATTCCCTCTCTGAAGCGATTAACAGGCTCTCGTAAAGGCTCAGAAGACAGGAGAGGAGGAGAAAGGGACGATCCCCTTAGACGCGGTGGTTGAGCACAGGACTCGGATCAGCTGGGTTAAAACCACAGCCCCACCACTCACAGGCAAGAGGCGTCATCTCTCAGCACCCTCAACTTCCTCACTCAAGAATGGGGAGATGCAGCTCAGAGGATTGGCGGGGGTCTTGATCTTCAGAGGAGTCCCCAGAACAGAAGGCTCTCAGCAGCTCCCACTCACAGGTTTCCGGAGTTGCACACTTGCCGTAACCCGTGCAGGACACCTTTGCCTGCAGCCTTGGCCTCAGGGCTTTCGTCACACAAATGCTCAGAGCCCGTGATGCTCTGGTCCCAGCCTGTGCCCCCTAGCATCCCGCCATCTACACCGTCACATGAGCATGTGGGCTTACATCGCCCTGCCACGCATGTGCACGGATCACGTGATCACGCAGCGTGAACGGATTACGTAGGGTAGGCTGTAAGGCCCTGGGATGACTAAGCATCTTGCCTGGCTACTGGACAGAGCACTGGCGGTCACGTAGCTGGGGGAGTGGCTAGGAGTTCCAATGGTTATTGCGGCACACGCCTATAACCTCCACTTGGGGGGGCGGGCAGGAAGGTCACAGTCATCCTTGGCGATGCACGTGAGTTTGAGGCCCGCTTGGCATGCGTGTGTGAGAGACCCTGTTTCACAGGATAGAAAATAAAGTCAGGCCAATGTGCCCGGACAGCTGGTTTGGCTCACGGGGATTCTTGAATGTTCCGACCCTCCGGCCCCCTACCGTTGCTGTAGCAGAACTTAGCTGAACTCAGACAAAGAACCCCACAGTGAGGTACTGGTGTTTGAAGCTGAGACACTGCTGTCTGGTATCCATGGGGCGGGTGTGAACACACCATACCTGTAAGCGACCAGCGACTGATCAGCAGACACACACACACACACACACCCCACACACCCCCGTCATGCCTAGGAAGAAGGAGTCTCACCCAGCCTTGGCCTAACTTCCTCTGTCAAATCACAGGAGAGGGTGCCTCTTCAGACCTCCCAGGGACTTACCCCCTGGAATCTTTAGGAGGGCCCCTGCTCGGCCCGGTGGGCTCTTCCCTTACTGAGTGTAAGCTGCTCACTTCGGGAGGCATCACTGGTCTCTCTCTGGGAGGACACTGCTCAGCTTTTGCAGTCTTTTTTTTTTTAAATAATTTATTTAAATTTACTTTTTGTACATTGGTGTGAAGGTGTCAGATCCCCTGGAACTGGAGTCACACAGACAAGTGTGAGCTGCCACGTGGGTGCTGGGAATTGAACCCCGGTCCTCTGGAAGAGCAGCCTGTGCTCTTATCCACAGAACCATCTCTCCAGCCCCCAACTTTTGCACTCTTAACCCTGGAAAGGATGTGACCGCGAAGGTCCTTGGTCTCCTCTTCCCTTTCAGCCGCTGCTGAGGTCAGAGCCCCAGACACAGGGGACAGGACTGGAGGTCATTCAGAGTGGCTGCCCCAGGAGAAGCAGGCAGGCAGTCGGACTGTCCTTGAGTTTTATTTTTATTTTCAATGTCAGCTTTGAAGAATTTTGTGAGTCCCAAAGGGGCCCTTTTATGTCTTTTTTTTTTTTTTCTTTAGAATTTCCTCTAAAACCAATCAGGGAGGTTTAACATATTCCATATTTAGCAATTTAATGATCTCCCCCCCCCCTGCCTTAATTTCCCTCCATCTTTACTTTCTCCTCTGATGTTTAATTAAGCATTTCTGAGAACACCATTTACAGAATTTCCAGAAGGTCCTCTAGGTGTGAGCTCGTGGCGTGCCTTAGAAGATAAGACCTGTGCTCTGGCAGATGCCAAGCTAGAGCGAGTGGAGGCGCCGGCGCCGCTGCGTCCGAGGGTTTCCTTGTACTAGCATCTTGGTGATTTTTCTGTCTCTAGGATCCTCAGACAAGTCAAACCTGGAGCTGATCACTCTCACGTGCACCTGCGTGGCTGCGACTCTCTTCTGGCTCCTTTTGACGCTCTTCATCCGGAAACTGAAACAGGTAAGAATGCAGAAGAAAAGATCACTAAGGCATGCAACCGCCTCCCTCCCCCCCCTCCTCCGTGTGAGCATGTCCATCCACGTCATCCTTGTTCGGCCTCACTTAGGCAGCCATACTGTTGAGCCATCATAGAGCTACTATGACGGGGTCCTCCTCCCTAAACTATGGGCCGCCAAGGAGTGCTGAGAGAAGGAGAATTAGCCTCTCCCAGGGATGACACCCTAGCTGCTTATCCATTACCCAGTGGTCAGTCCTGACATCATATACAGACAAGCAACACTAAACAGACTCAGCAGGTCATATTTGCTCAGGGAGTTCGAGGCCAGCCTGGCCCACAAAGTGAGTTCCAGGACAGCCAGGGAGACACAGAGAGACCCTGCCTCAACGCCCCTCCCCCTACAGAAAGGAAAGACGTCAAAGGGCAAGTGAAATGAAGACCCACGTCTGACCTGGCTCTGCTCTATTTCCCATGAGTCTGTGTGGTGCAGGGCGTGAGCCCCTGTGCCAGGCCCTCTGGGGACCTTGGAGAGCAGCCGCTACTGCGTGCAGTCTGGAAGGAGACTGTTTGGACTCCAGGGCACAGCCAAATGCCACCCTGTAACTCTGCATTAGGTCTAAGGTGTAAGGATAGCGGAGCAAACCTGGGCACCGTGGTGGCGCACGCCTGCAATCCCGGCACTCGGGAGGCAGAGGCAGGAGGATTGCAAGTTTGAGGCCAGCCTGGACAACTTAATGAGACCCTGCTTCAGAAAATGGAAGGGAGGGGGAGGGAGGGGGCTGGGGAGGGGAAGAGAAGGGAAGGAAGGGCATGGCTACTCCAAATGTGAAGAGGGGTGTAGACGACGGAGGAAACAGCGTTGGAGGGAGCAGGGGCTTCTAGGCACAGCCCACAGAGCAGCCGTGAGGAGCTAGGACGGCCGAGGCCAGGGCTGCAGAGGGCTGCTAAGTCCGGCTGGGCAGGACCTTGGAGGGAGGAGGCAATGCCAAGAAGCGGGTCTGCCAGGTGAAGGCTTCGGCAGCCGGCAGGGCAGGCAGAGGAGGAGGAGGAGGAGGAGGGGTGCTAAGTGAGGTGTGGTCAGAAGAAGCTGCTACTCCAGTTGGGGAGGGGGTGGGGCGTGTTTTTTCTCGTCTTGAAGACCAGATCCAGCGAGAGTCGACCCCCAGGCATGTAGGAAATGCAGTAAAGTGGTGTAAGGAAGAAGCCTGCGACCCGCTGGAGGGGTAAGAGTTGAGAGATCTTCAGGAGGGAGTAGCAACTGGACTTAAGGAAGCCTGGGTTTCTGCTTTTTCGTTCTTTCTTTTTTTTTCTTTTTTTTTTTTGTTTGTTTGTTTGTTTGTTTGTTTTTGTTTTGGAGGGTTTTGTTTTGTTTTTGAAACAGGGTTTCACTGTGTAGCACTGTGAACTCACTACATAGACCAGGCTGGCCTCGAACTCACATAGGTACTGCTGCCTCTCTGCCTCCCCAGTGCTGGGAGTAAAGGCGTTCGCCGCCGCCGCCGCTGCCGCCACCACCCAATGGTTTCTGCATTTTCCTAGACATTCTCCTTCATGGTTGTCCCAGGTCTTGTGAGAAACACCTTGTACAGGGTCTCCGTTCGTCCTATCAAAATGTCAGAGAGGGAGATGTATTATTATTCCCATTTGAATGAGGGAAACTGAGGTTCCCTGAGGTGAAGACATGGGTCCAGATGTCACGACAGGAGTCGAGTTTTGAGCACGGGCTGTCTGACCTCTGACTGATACTCACAATCTTAAGGCACGCATGCTTGGCAGTTGGAATGGGAGAGGTGGCAGGCAGCAGCCTTCCATGTCCACAAAGGACATCAGGCCTTGGGCGCATGGAATCTGTGGTTTTAAGACCTGATGAGGCCACTGCTTTAGAAGCAAACAATAGTTTTGATATTTCTGTGTCATGTCTGTCCCCGTCCGTGCCCCCCCCCACCCCCCAGCCAAGGCCCGAAACCAGGGCCTTGCGCTTGCTAAATCCCCAACCCCAAACAATAGGTTTTCAAGGAGAGAACACATCTCCTGGGGGAATACTTGCAAAAAAGCATACTTGCTGAATCTGGGGTGGAGAACAAAACTGGAGTAGCCCAAGGGACGGACACGGAAGGAGAAAAGAAAGCTAAGGGAAAACAGTGCTAAGGTAGACTCGGAAGAGTGTAAACCGGAAGGAGGGACCAGAAACAAACGCTCTACCCTGCCCCCTTCTCCTCCCCTCGCTGAGCAACAGCCATCTTACTCAGCAAGCCCTTGCGGGGTAAGGATGGAAAGATCTAGAACAGATAGGTTTAAGAGGGCTCCTACACTGCCAAGACTCCAGAAGGTAGGAGTTGGTGGGAGGGGGCAAGAGACTGTCTAGAATTGGGCTGGAGGAGGCAAAGGTGAACACGGAGTCTAAATCAGATGCATGTCCGCGCGGTTCCTCTAACCACAGTGCTAATTCCTCATTGATAAAGAATGGATCTTATCTCCTCGCCCCCGCCCGGTAGAGCCAGTGTTGACCAATGGCCAACGTGTACTGATGCTTGCCAGAAGCCAGGTCCTGTTCTAACCGGTTGGTCAATCATTTGATATCCATAGCAACCCTCTCAGACAAGTACAATTACAACCCCCATTTCACCGATAAGCAGAACTAGGTTTGGGCGAGTTAAGCCGCTTCCCCGGGAGATCCAGGCTCCGGTCCAGGCAGCTGGTCCTCCCTGCCAAGGGTCAATTAAAAGGACGAATACCTGTCACCTCGTACTCTGCCAACATACTGCCCTCACAGGTCTGTGCGGTGTTCACAGGAGCCACAGGCGACAAGCTCTTCCTTCCCCGCCCCGTTCTCTTGTCCCATTCCACATCCTTGACACCTCCCCGTCCTGCAGAAACCCAAGGTGTCCCCTGCTGGGTTCCAGCTGTCCCCTGCTTCTGCGTGGTTGCCTTGGTGACATTCAAAGTGAAAGAGTTAGTCATCGGAATGACACCAGCAGCTTCTCCCCTGAGCACCCGGCACCTGTAATAGCCTGGCACCCACCCGGGGTGCTGCCCCTTATCTTTTGACTTTTATGGGAGGCTGAGCAAACTCTCTGCCCTGCGGTCTTTGTCCCACATTCTAATGATAATTTTTGTAAGGAGAATGATTGCAAGCGAGTGATGGATGGGGTGAGTGGTGACGGCCTGGGGCAGGGTGAACGAGGGCTGAGAATGAATGAGTGGGTGTGAAGTGGTCCGTATGGAAAGGCAGTCTTCCCCCCTTCGTGCTTCCTCTTGGCTAGGGGAAGAAAAAAAACTGCAAAAAGAGGGGGCCAATCTCATTTCAACAAAGTTTATGTGACTTTGAGGCAAGGGTTGTATGGGAAACTCACCCTTCCTGTCCCACCCAAGTCTGCCCACAGAAACTCAGTCATCAGCCCTGGAAATGTGTCCACGAATAGGAAATGAACCGGCTGATGGGCTGTAGCTGTCCATCTGCTCCTCTGGGATCCGCCACCATGGTTACTCTCTGGGTCTGACTTGATTTCCAAGAAGTCAAGTTCGCAGTACACACTTGTGTTATGAATGTGACATCTGAGCAATGCCTAAGGAACTCAAGATGTGTCTGCATTTACTCCTCAGCCTTTGAAATTGCCAGCCTCTGTTTCTGAGGCTAGAAAGGACTTCGCAGGGCTGGAGAGATGGCTCCGTGGTAAAGAGCACTGGCTGCTCTTCCAGAGGACCTGGGTTCATTCCCAGCACCCACATTACGGCTCACAAACATGTGTAGCTCCAGTTCTAAAGGATCTGTTGCCCTCTTCTGGCCTCCATGGGTACCAGTCAGGCATGGTGCTCTTACATACATCCAGGCAAAATTCTCAAACACATAAAAATATATAAACCTTTAAAAAAAAAAAAAAAAAAGGTGCAGAGCAGCCCTGGAAAGCTTTCAATCATTGTTTAGAATTGTATTAAATGCTCTTCATTTTTTAAAAGAAAAGCTCTCATATGATTGGTTCAGAACATGACGCGTACATAAGGCCAGTGGGGGTCTGGGGCACATTTATTCCTGATAAGACGCTGCTGTTACTGTGGAAATGTCGTGAGAGAAAAGTAAGGAGCTGGAGTCTCCTGGAAACGGCACACGCCAGGGTGTGTGTCTCACTCATCGCCCCAGTGCTGTGAAGAGACACCATGACTAAGGCAACGTTTAAAAGAAAGCATTTCGTTGGGGCCTGCTTAACAGTGTCAGCGGGTGAGGCCATGGTCATCGGGGTGGTGAGCGTGGTGGGGCTGGAGAGCAGCTGAGCGCACGCAGGACCCACAAAGTTACATGCAGAGAAACGGGGACGTAACTGGACTTGGTCTGGCCTTGGCCTGGGCTTTCGAAACCTCAAAGCCACCCCCAGTGACACACCTCCTCCCACAAAGCCGCACCTCGTCCATCCCAAACAGTCCACCCAACTGGGAACCAAATATTCAAATATTTGGTTTGGAGGCCATGCGCATCCAGACCACCACAGTGTGTATATAGGAAGACCCTCTGCACTTGGCCGGATGATGCAGAGTATTGTAGAATGGAAAACTGGGGTTTTAATGTTGTTTGTTTTCTTCTTAGTGACTTTTGGGGGGTCTCTCTATTCCTCAGTCTTCTTCTGAAGTAAAAACGGACTACCTGTCAATCATAATGGACCCAGATGAAGTCCCCCTGGATGAACAGTGTGATCGGCTGCCCTATGATGCCAACAAGTGGGAGTTTGCCCGGGAAAGACTTAAGCTAGGTAAGGTATTTTGTCTGGCGGATTCACAAGCCTATCACAACAACCCATTCCATGCAAAACACTTGCCTTGAGAACAGCAACAGAAAGCTGAACTTCACCGTCCACCCTCCAGCTGGGGTCATGGACCAGAGGGCCTGTGAGCTGTCGCTGAGACAACAGAACAAGGCAACACGAAGCACCCTTGTGTTCA